GTTGTTGTTGTTGTTGGAAATGGAGTCTTGCTGTGTCGCCCAGGCCGGAGTGCAATAGCACGATCTCAGCTCACTGCAACCTCCACCTCCTGGGTTCAAGCAATTCTCCTGCCTCAGCCTCCCGCATAGCTGGGATTACAGGTGCCTGCTGCCATGCCAGGCCAATTTTTGTTTTTTTGTTTTTGTTTTGTTTTGTTTTGTTTTTTAGTAGAGACAGGGTTTCACCATGTTGGCCAGGCTGGATTCTAACTCCTGATCTCAGGTGATCCACCTGTCTCAGCCTCCCAAAGTGCTAGGATTACAGGAGTGAGCCACCATGCCCAGCTAGAATATTGAAACACTTCTGTGTTTACTGCTAACTAGTCACTTTCCTGAACACACCAGGCACCCCCACCATAACCCATCAACTCGAAAAAAAAAAAAAAATTCCAGCCCCACAGAGGAGCCTCGGAGACACTGCTGCAGCACAGAGGCTGACGCCCTCTGATTTTTAACATCACACCTGCTTTTAGTTTCCTACTGACATAAGATAGTAACCACACAGCAATGGATCTAAGTCATCTGCTTTTAAGGTACAGCAAAATTAAATATCCAAATAGAATAAATAGTATTATTTATGAATTAGCCATCTTATTCTTGAGGCTTGGTTTCAAATGATTTCTGGCTTATGGCAAAATCAAATCCACCCTCAAAAGATATAAGATTGCCCTCTGTAAGAGTTTACAAAAGAATATGATGCCATTCCCAGTGACCATCTTGATTAGCAGTGGCCAAAAACTACTTGAAGCAATGATGGCATCATGGGAATACATGTGTAGCCTCAGAAGGTGAAGAGTTTTTCACACACAGGTAATAATTTACATAAATTTTAATACTGCTGGATATCAGATAATATTAAGAAATTATTATTAATTTTTAGATGTGATAATACTGTTTTTTAGAGATGCACACTTAAATATTTACAAATTAAACCTATGATAGAAGGGATTTATTTCAAAACGATCTGTAGAGAAGGGGCCAGGGGAAGGAGTGTGAGGGGAGCTGGTGATTCATGATCCTATTCACTCCACTTTTGTATATGTTCTTCAAAATAAAACGTTAAGCCAAATTGTTTTCCATCCCTGGTAGACGGGAGATGTAAGAGAGAGAGAAGCGCCCTGGATTAGGGCGTGGCGAGACCTGGAAAGATTCACTGTCCACCTGCTCCCTGTGTGGCTGTGGACCTTCCCTCGTTTTCTGTGAAGTGTGCTGTGCACATAATCACACACACATACACACACACACACACACACACACGCACACACCTTCCCGGACAGGTTAAACAAGATACTGTTTGTGTAACATTTTGAGCTCCTTGAGAGAAAGGTGCAACATCAATGATCCATCACTGTCCTAACCCAGCACACACAGGTGTTTTGTGAAGTTTAGTTTAGATGATTCAGGATTCCCAGAACCCCCACAGATTTTTCAGAAACTACCTCCCTCTTCGTTCTCTAAGCCAACTAAAAAACAGGAGCAGAAACAAAACACCCTGCTTCCACACAGGAGGCGTGGAGCGGCTCTGTTTACTTCTCCGACACAAAGCCCTTGTTTATGTGGGACAGATGGTAATACGTTTCTCTTCTCTTCTCTCTCTCTCCCTCCCTCCCTTCATCTGGTCCCCTCTGTTTCTTTGTCCCCCTCCATTTTTCTTTTCTCCAATCCTTCTCAGCTTCACACCACTTTTCCTGAATTGACTCAAGGGCCAGCAAGAAAGACAGACACACAGAATGCCAAGCCCAGGGGAATGGCTTTGCAGCTACTATTTACTCTACCAGGCTGCATGCACATGGTTGCTTCTTGTTTCACAGTACTCACATTTGAAATGCATTTTTGAAGAGAGTGACACACCTTTGAAACTCCAGGGGGTTCAGGGCAAACATGAAAAGACCCATAAATATTTATGTGGCAAGTTTCCATGGATTGTCTTCACAAAGTAAAAAGTAACCACAGTCAATATGTGAGACGCACAGACATACACACACACACACACACACACACACACACCTGTTCCTTCCAGGCCTGGCCACTTTCAAAGAACAAATGTAAACCTAACCTCTTACCACGTATTTCCTGCAGTAAGCACAGTCTGTAAACTAGCCTGGGGGAGGGGAAAGGAGGTGTGAAGGACTAGACACGCCAGAGACTTCTCTCCCTCTATCTATAACGCTGGTTCCTCTCCTTCTCAGACCCAGGCAAGTCACTCATTCTTTCCCAGCTTCTGTTTCTTCTAATGTAAAATGAAGGTTTTAGAATGCATAGGTGATCTATAGCATCTTTTCCAGCTCTAAATATCTGTGATTCAAGGTTTTTAGAGAATTCTCATAATATGAATCTACCTGACACCCAAATACCTCGTGGGGGCAGGGTAGGTTGGAATCAACATACAGGTCTGTTGAAATCAACAAACCAGTGATGAGTGACATCAAACCAGTGACTGAGCAATGACCTGTGTGGTGGCAGAGGAGAGACGTTTGGGGTAAAGGGAAAAGAAAAAGATTGTATTAAGTTCAGTAGGGAAATGACTCATCTATAAGTAAAGGCAGAGAAAGGCATCAGAAAGGAAAGAACTGGCAAAATAGGTACCAAGCAGGAGTAGGAGGCAATATTTGGCATCTGCCTGGATGTCTAGAAGAAAATATGGCAAAAAAAGCAAAGCTGTGCAAAAGGAGGTGTGCACAGATCCTGCTTGGTCGCCTGAAATCCATTCTCAGATCCCAAACATGCTTCAGACAGAGGCATTCTCCAAGAACCAGCACACTGGCACTCTTAGAAGAGGCCTTAATGTGATACCCTGTTCTACACAAGGATAATAACTATCCCCCATGGCCACCCCCACCTACAGACAAGAAAGAGTAAATACCCTGCTTTTAAAAGATGAAATCACTATTTGAGCACTAATAGCTACAGCTGCAAATAATTAACTCCAGGATTTATTACCAATTAGGACTATAAATCTCTGCTTACTTTGGCTCCTGGAAAGTTGATTTCACTGGGGAGTGTGGGAGGGAGTGGGGACAAAGTCATTTGAGACAAGGAGGGAGAAACTCAAGCTTAAAAAGGCACACTTCAAATTCAAAAGAGAGCAAGATTTCTCAAGCACCACAGCAGCAAAGCAGGCTTGACTTGCGGTTCTAAGCAAACCAGCCCAGCAGATGCCTGCAGGGTTAGCAAAGTCAAAGAGACTGGTGCTACTCAGAGGAGGATGTTAGGGCCCGGGAAGGAGGTTGCATACTGTGTGGACCCCAGTGGCTACGCCATAATGTGGGCTGAGTGGGCAGTGGAACACATGCATCAGGCATAGTTCATTATCTCAGGGACACTCTGACCATTGGAATCACCTGTGGAGTTTTAAAAACATACCTATGCTTGGGTTACACTGCAGACTAATTAAATCAGAATCTCCAGGATGGGGCTAGGGTATCAGAGTGGTTCAAAAAACGCCCCCGGGTAGCTTTCAAGTGCAGTAAGCCAGGGTTGAGAACCACCTGAGAAGTACCTCATTTCATCCTCAGGCACTCCCATGTTAAGAAGGTTGCTATAGCTCTCAAGGTTTTACAGAGAATGCTGAGGAACAGAGAGGCTAATGGGACCAGGGTTACACAGCTAATAGTGATGAAGGCAGGATTTGAACACAGAGCCCACACTCTTACTTATCATGTTCTTTGGACTCCAAGGTTATGATTCTCAGACTTCCAGGCCCTGAACCTTCAGAGTCTATTCAAGATAGAAAATGGGGACTCAAGCCAGGCCTGATGGCTCATGCCTGTAATCCCAGCACATTGGGAAGTGGAAGCGGGCGGATCACTTGAGTCCAAAACTTTGAGACCAGCCTGGGCAACATGGTGAAACCCCATCTCTACAAAAATACAAAAATTAGCTGGGCGTGGTAGCATATGCCTGTGGTCCCAACTACTCAAGAGGCCAAGGCAGGAGAATGGCTTGAGCCCAGGAGGCAGAGACTGTAGTGAGCTGAGATCATGCCACTGCACTCCAGCCTGGACAACAGTGAGACCCTGTCTCAAAAAAAAAAAAAAGAAAAGAAAAGGAAAAGAAAATGGGAACTCATAAACGACTTTTATGTATGTTTTTTAAATCATAGAAATGAAACATTAGCATATATGAATGCTACATATTAACGAGGGGGGAAAGTTTCTTTCTCTTGATTGGGATGACATCAACGCAGAGGTCGCACTGGACATTTCATGCTTGTCAGGAGTTCTCACTCATTCATTCAACAAACATTAAGTGCTAATTTTCTGCAGAGTCTATAAAATAGAAGTGACCCTGTGCAGATAATCACACAACAGATGTTCTAAGGGACATAATAGTAGCATGCACTAGACACTCGAAGATCACACAGAAGAAAGCAGGGAGCTTGAAGTGGCCATGATCTATTACGCCTTTAGTGAGTGTAAAACGGCAAGGTAAATCACAGGATAATATATGCATGCTGCTAACAGGTGAAACAAGAGATGGAGTCCCTAACTGGAGGCAGAGAATAACAAAATCTTATAAGAAGGCTGGGAATAAACTGTTGATCTATAAATATTTCAACCAGGGTAGAAAATGCAAATTCCTGGCTGGCAGCTATATGAGTGTAATGAGCTGGATGTCAGCAGGGGAGGTGGGGACTGAGGTTAACTAGAGACCCCGTATCCTGTCTAAAGAGGCAGCTAGTTCTCACCACCAGCCAAAAATCACCATGTAGAAATGTGGATGCAGTGTTGTCAAACCTTTTGACTTTTTTAGGAAAAACTGTTAATATGGGTTGCTTAACGCAAGATCTCCCAATTTTTAAAAGGTATCTAATTCAAGTACTTTCAAAACACCACATAAACCAAAGAAAATACATCACCGTCCCCCCAGCTTTGATTTTATCATTGAAGGTGATCTCTCTGCTAGTCCCAGGATCCCAAAGCAATTGCTTATTCACCTGTACCTTTTCCCTCGCCCAACAGGTCTGGTCATTTATTTTGGATACGGCATCTGGAACAGCACCCTGGAAATCAGCGCTCGAGAAGAGGCCCTGCACCAAAGCACGTACCAACGCTACGATGTGGATGACCCCTTCTCAGTGGAGGAGGGTTTCTCCTACGCCACAGAGGGTGAGAGCCAAGAGGACTGGGGTGGGCCCACTGAAGACAAAGGCTTCTATTACCAACAGATGTCAGATGCAAAGGCAAACGGCCGGACAAGTAGCAAAGCGAAGAGCAAAAGCAAACACAAACAGAACTCAGAGGCCCTAATTGCAAATGATGAGTTAGATTACTCTCCAGAGTAGGAGAAACATACAAGTGGGTAGAAATGGTGATGATTGATTTTCAGTAACTTAACCTGTGGGCTAGAAGGTGAAAACTTTTTTGGCTCTCATTTCACAAATCCAGCCTTCCCCAAATTCAATCCCTAGTCATAGCCTGTCATTTGCTACTTTTGCTCTTCAGGATAGTTCTGTTGAAGGGCTTAACCTGGGTCCCCTAAGTGGTCACCTTGTTAAAATAAATAAATAAATAAACAAGAGGCTATCTGAAATTCCATCTTAGGTACAACCATCAGGGCTGATGGTAGCAAATGTTTCCTAAGCCTTTGCTTTGCTGGTTGAAGCCCCAGCAGGGGCTCTGGGCAGAAGGCAGAATTTCAGTCACCTGAGACACGGGAACAAAGCTCTGTTCTTGGCATGTCAGGCTGAGCGCTGCTCCCCGAGGTCAGGGTGAGTAGGTGGGCACTGGCACTTCCTGAGCAAGCATCATTTTATCCTGCAATCTCACCCAAAATTAATTCATGCAAAAGACACATGCTTCTTTTTATTCACCAACATTCTCACAGCTTCCAAACTATAATTTTAGGATCCAGCAAAGGTCAGGGACTCTGAGACCATTTTCCCAATGGTTTCAGATTCACCGTAAAGCGATCATGCAGACCCAGTAATATGGTAAGAAGCACCATCAAGGTTCTACGTAAATGCCCAGAAGAAAATTAAATAACCATCTCTTGCAGTGAAGGCCAGAGAGCATTGGCAGAAATTAACTCTCTGTCATGGCCTCTCTTATACCAGACTCCAGCTCCTGGTGACATGATGAAAGAGGGCAAAGGTGGAGCATGATTTCATGGCACTGATATGCCTTGAAGAAGTAGGTTGTTTGTTTTATAATCAGATAAAAATCTTTACAAGGAGAAGTGACCCAGCCACTGAGATCACATTGCAAATTCTCTTTCGTATTTCTAAAATTATAAATTCTGTAGTTTTTTGAGATATGCAACCACTTGATTGGTGTGTGCTACTCTGAAAACAAAACAGGTTGAATTACAGCTACTTAGGTAGTTGCATTCCATGAGATCACATTTCATTTCTGAACCTTATTCCTTGGGGGTAGCTCACTTTCAGAGGTGTATTTTTTTTTCCTGTTATTTCCCAGATGAGTTTCACTAAAGCCCAAAGAAATATCTACCTGGTAAGATGTAAATTTGGGCCATAAAAGGGGCTACTAAAATAATTTTCTCAGAAACAGAATAGATGAGAGAATTTGCAAAGGAAAAAAACACACATGGGCTATAATATAAATTCTACTCTCAGGTTACAAGGATTCCTGTGGCTGCACTGAGATGTGTACAAATGTATGTGAAGGCACACTTTGAATCGAGTTATCATAAAATTAACCAAGCTATTAAAAGTAATCAAGGTATTAATAAAATCTCTGTGAGGATTTCCTGAAAGAGGGACAAAAGAAGAAATTCTTTGTCCTTTCTCTCCTGGATGTATCAGTATGACAAACGTTTTCCAGAACATATTCGCTAACACTCAAGTCTGTTCTTTCTGAAAAGCTGAGGCTCATGCCCTCTTGGCATGCTTTAGGATTATGGCAAGGAGGTAAAAGTCCATTTTTTCATTCAACTAACACTGGTTGAGAATAGACCAAATGCTAAGTGACAGGAATGAATAGAAGCATGGCATCTGCCCTTGGGGGCTACGGTCCACGGATGAGCAGCACCAGAGCCTGGTAAATGCAGATAAAACAACAAACTTGACAAGTCTCCAGGCTGATGCACTCAGTTTTAACATACATATAAAGATCAATTGAAACTAGTTTTTTAAAAATATGCTTTACATAAATTACATATCATAATCATAGCCAATGTATACCATTAAATTAAATAACTGCAATTTTCTAGATATTTTTTATTCTTCCGTAGTCATTGTTTAGAATTCCGGTTTCCTGAGGTCATTTTATCATATTAATGTCATGCTTGACAATGCTGTGTTTTCTCTTCCCTAGAGTTAACCATAAAGATACAGTGCCTACTCTGTGAAATACATCATTGGGAATTAATTATAAACTAATTATCAGTCATCTTTTGAAAACAAAGTTTTGAATTGGCTATAGGACTCAACAGATCTGCCTGGTTTAAATACAATCTGTTAAGCTTGATATACATCTAGAGAGACGAGATCGGGTTGTATTCATTAAATATGAGAATAGTGAAATAGGAGTGCAAAATAGCCAACTCTTAACGCAGGTGAAAGAGCTTCCTTTTATTAGTGAGGTTTAAGTATTAAAGTAACAATAGCCTGGTGGCAGATGAATTCCATTTCTATAGGACGGGAATGGAAAATGTATGCTTTGGTTAACACCATTGCTATTGATTTTGTGCAGATTCTATGAACCGCTCTCATTTCAGGAGCCATTTTTTCCGAATAGTATATTTGTATATTTTAAGCTTAACTCTCTTTATTTTTCTAAAGTTGATAGATCACCTCCCTAGAAACCTTACTTTAAAAAAAGCAAATCACTAAGATAGAAAAAGTTTTTTCAGGTACATAGACATATTCGTCCTCGGGTTTACCAACTTCTGTAAAACAGTCCCAGATTTCACAATGCAGTTTTCAAATATCATCAATCACTAGAATGACAATATTATTATTTTCCTAACAGGTTTCTAAACGATGTATTTGTGGGACCACATTAAAAGTAAGATCACCTTATAATTATCTTAGAAACTTTGCCCCTTGAAGGGAGTCCAAGGAAGACCTACACTTCATTGAATTCTGAATAGCAAAAGCTTCTGAGTGAGATTTCATTGTGTGATTTGTGGTTTGGAGCCAATTACTTCATTTTTTTCAGATTTTATTCTACTTATTTATTGGTACTCTGCTTCATTTCCAAAGGATTTGAGGCAGTTACTAAAATATATATAATACAAAACAAAAATTAAGTGAGGAACTCAGGGCAAATAAAAATAGAAGCAGAAAGGATAAGACAAAACTAGATGTATATTTAGTGCATAAATGCAGAGCCCTGATATGCTTTACTAAATTTGCCCCCGATGAGGGGCACCATGAAAAATAATAGAATCGCTGGCAATGACAAGAACAAGCACTTCTGCATGATAAGAACAAATTTTTCCTCATGCGGGCAAAGGTTTGAAATAGCATAGGTCATTAAAATCCACAGATAAGCTTCAAACCTAGATTTTGCTAGCTACATGTGCCTGGCATATAGTGTCTATTTAAGAAATACCTGATGATTGACAGAATGAATGAATTGGAGGAAAATGAAATATTTATTTAACAATTATCTGTGGAGTGCCTATTATGTACTGTGGCAGATACTGATACCGTAAGTCAGATAAAAATCCAGCTCTTAAGAAATAGAGGAAATAGAGCTTGGTGTGGTGGCATATGCCTATGATCCCAGATAGCTGAGAGACTGAGGGAGGAGGATCATTTGAGCCCAGGGGTTCAAGGCTGCAGTGAGCTACGATCATGCCACTGTACTCCAGCCTGGGTAACAGAAGAATACCCTGTCTCTTAAAAAGAAAAATGAAATAGGGGAAATGGGATATATAAATAAAGAACAATAGTGAAAGTGTCAGGTGAGATGAGGGAGTTGTAATGCGCTGTGGCGGTTCAAATATGAAGAAAGCCTTTTTCCTCTGGAAAGGTCATAAAGAATGTCACACGTGTGTCAGAACTTGTGAAATGGGCATAATTTTATCAAGTAGAAATGAGAGAAAGGCATGCCAGGCAAAGGATCAGTATGAGTAAGGTCTACTAGCTTGCTGTCTTCTGACTAAGAATTTGTGCTGTGCCTCCATCAAGTGAAAGCAAGGAGCTAGTTTGCCTGGAGCACATGATTTATGCATGACAATAAGAAATAATGCTAGGAAGGCAGGTGAGGGCTCACTCACAGAAAGACTTGAATGTCACACTGAGCTGGCTGGCTTTCCTCGGGTGAGAGAGTGGGAAATAATTGGGGAACTGAGGAAAGTGTGAATCCAGGAAGGCTGAACTTTAAGAAAGCTGAGACAGTGGCTTCCTTGCTTATACAAGGAACTAACAAGCCACATATACACTCCAAGTTGATTTAACAAATCAAAGGGGAAAATAGCTGTACTTTGAGTCCTGTGTCTGCGTTCATCATTAACCTAAGAGAAATATAGTCGTTTAATACGTGGACAGGCAACACAATTTAACAGCCACTTTAAAGTTTTCAACAATAGGTTTCAACAACCAAACCTAACAACTCGTTATATCCATCTAATCTAAACAGTAAAACCTCAGCTCCAGGTTTTACTGAGCTTGTGTGTCGGTCGGAACACAGTTATATAAGATTCTCACGTTCTTTTTTCTTTTCTGCTCTTTTTTGTTGACGAATGAGTTTTGCCTCTGTGCCCTTCAATGGGCCAGCCCGGCCGCCTGGAGTGTCCATGGGTGCTGTATTCTCGCACTCACCGCAACTCGCCTCCCCGCGCGTCAAGCGATCTTCCTGGTCCTCGCCCATCCCAAATAGCTGGGATTAAAGGCATGTAACACCACACCCAGCTAATTATTTATTTTTAGTAGAGATGGGGTTTCTCCATGTTGGTCAGACTGGTCTTGAACCTCCTAACCTCAGGTGATCCACCTGCCTCGGCTCCCAAAGTGCTGGGATACAGGCGTGAACCACCATGCCCAGCCCAGTTTAATGATTTTGTACACTGTTTTAGTTGATAATGCAGAACACATATTCTCTCTTGATGGGCTTATCAAAACTCTCCACTCCCCCTTGTGGGCTCTAAGTCCTAAAAAAAGAACACTCTATTTTCTTAGAGAAGTAATTTTGGGCAAAAGGCGACTGCTATAGGTATTTCAGAATGATGCATGCATTACTCAACGCAGAGCAAGAAGAGGAAAGGGCATTGTATA